AGAGAGAGAGAGAGAGAGAGAGAGAGAGAGAGAGAGAGTACACAGTTTACATCTAAGGACATTTTGGGGGAACCAGAGTGTTGGAGCTCTTGTCCTCGTTTGTGGTTATGATTTTTTCCGTATTTTTGGTTTGCGTAATTAGCTCTCTCCATTTGATTTCAATTTTAGAAGTGGATCTGCAATGTAAGTATGCATGACTAGTAATTTTCAGGATGATTTCACGGTTACACAATAAGCGATTATTCAATTGATTCTTGTTCTCTCTTTGCGTCTCTAAACTCTGCGAAGATATGCATATCCCCCATCTGGTTTTTGGTGGACACTGTTCTATTATCTTAACCTAGTTCCATGCAGGTCTTCAACCTTGATTGCTTCTATAAGTTCTATGGAAAGCTTAAGAATAACTCTGGTGATTACATCCTTTCAAAAATTCTGAAACATTTTATTGTTTGATTGGAAGTGAACTTTCAATTGTCTCCCATCAAGTCCAAAGTTCTTCTCTCTTCAACGAATTTGATCCCATGGCTCTTGCCTTTGTTATCTTTGTAATCCTATTAGGCTTATACTAATGCATGCGAAACCCTTTGTAACTCTTTCATAAGAATTCCTTATTTCTGCACATATACTTCTATACCATGATGTTTTTGCATGACAACTGTCATGGGGGAGATTTCTCACTACACGCCCTGTGCATCACTAAGCCTTCATCCGAGTACAACCAACGGTTAACCAACGTTTCACATGCCCACACAAGAGAAGTGAAGCACAATCACACACACAAGCAATAGCCAACGGCCGTAGCCTACCTTTATTCTACTATACTCTTGTGTTATATATAGCCTCGTACTCCTTCATCAAGGGCCAGGCAAGGGGTTTTTATATCCCTAGGGTACAATTCGAATTTCAAATACATACTATACATGTATTGGTCATGCCCACCGCCATGACTTGGATGGAGGCCACCGGGCCACCACACACTCTAGGTCTTCTACCTGGCCACCCCACTCATTGAGTCGGTTGCACACAATCCGCCAATTACCCCACAATCTTGTGCCATCAAAGCATGGACATTGTAATAGCCCATAGCTCATGGTGGTTGTTATCACCCCCTTCCCAATCCCTCAATTCACGCTCACGCAGCTCATTGATGGGAGGAGTGTGTTACTGTTAGTCAGCCCACTCTCTAGGGTCATGACTAGCCATGCATTTTCATGGCTTAGTTGCAGCGGGTCACACATGCATTACCTCTCACACATGGCTCACGGCTGGTGTTGCTGCCGAAGCCCATGTCTGGGCAATTACATATTTTGACCCTACCATAATTGTCTCGATCCACACTTGCTCTGCTAGGTGTATGGCTCACACCTCTTGCACATGGTCCTCCCCCATGTCCCGTAAAGCCAAGCCATCTGGTCAGGCCCTAGGTATCAGCCCACATCGTCTTTCCCAAGTTCTCCCACCAAGGGGCCTTTAGTTGCCAGCTGTCAATGCTCGCACCATGCAACTAATGCCGTACACCCTGAGCTCTCGCACATTCAAGGGAGAGAGGCATGCACCCTTCTTGTATATAGTTGACATAAAGAATTGGAATCTTGAGAATGATAGCTAATGCTGCCAAAGTAGTAAATGTGATAGTTGATGCACCATGGGGAATTCCTCGACCACCGCCCTTGACCACCACCCACCACGTGCACCACTTGGCTTGCACTCATACATCAAGGTTGCACCATACGCATCAGGCCACCTGCTCTACATGCACCAAGTTGCCTACGCTAGGCTGCACCATCTGGCTTGCACCACATAAAGCTAAGGAAAGCCTCCCCCACCTAAATTTTGACATCCTTGTTGGACGCTTGATGTTCGCTGGGTCCCCATAAACCACTACTTCAGTCAATACCCATGCTCGCTTGGATCAAGCCTCTTGCTTAGTCCATCTTACACTTGGTTAGGTCCATTGCTACCATCAAGCCTCGCTCACTTATGCACACATGGTTAAGTCCTCGCCCTACCACCATGTGTTTGGGTGGCCATGCTGCCACCACAAACCATGCTGCCACCTGCAGTCTCAAGAGGATGGCCTTGTACCAGCCTTACCACAGGTCGATCAGTACTTGTGATAGTTGTGCCAGTTGCCAAATTTCTTCTTCTTAGCCCCGCTAGGGCTAGGTTGATAGCTTGCCCCATCACACCCCCCACTAGCCAAAGAGGTCTCTCTAGTTGTTGAGTCAGATGATTCCTCTAACTAACCCACTTTCATCACCAATGGTCTCCTCACTCGATTTGGACTCCTCTTAAGCTTGTGTCTTGGTCGAAACCAACTGTATTGCGATCATCAACCGTACTGAGCCAACCTGTGCTGGGGCCTCTTCATTCTCCTGTAGAAGACTAACTGTGTGGAGGGCATGCTTCTGTGGGCACACCCGCACTTGATGGTCCCCTCCGCATATGATACAGCCCGAGAAGGCCTTCTTGGGTGCCTATTTCTCGTTCGCCCCCTTCTCATGTTTAGATCCATTGCGACACGACCTTCCCACCATCCATCCTCGATGGACCATCCTCATGGTTTGACTCCATTGCCCATGAAGATCAAAGTCTGCTAGGCCCTTAGTTGCCGCCATAGCAGTACGCAAGTCACCTACACCTTGCCTTCTCAACTCAGCTTGGGCCTATCGTTGCAGCCCAGACACAAAGAATCCTGCAACAGGGATGCAAACTTCTCAACTCGGCTTGGGCCCATCGTTGCTTTCTCAACTCGGCTTGGGCCCATCGTTGCCTTCCCAACTCGGTTTGGGCTCATCGGTCATGGTTTTAATATCCAGCACCAGGGATGCAAACTTCTTCACATAGTCCCACTCCCACACTTTCTCAAAGCTTCTCGAGCGACCCAAGCCGCATTGCCTGGAAAGAAACTCTCGTTTAGCTCCCGCATTGCTAAACCTTGAAACTTTCGTTTCAAGGCCTCCCAAGTGCTCACCTTAGGCCTTGATGTGTCCTCGACCCACATCCTGCACCAGAGCTTCACATCTCCAATAAGGTAAATAGAGTAAATGCCAACACGATCCTCCTCGTAGGCATGAGCTGTCTCGAAATATTGCACCATGTCACATAAGAAGTTCTCCAACACCTTGGAGTCTCGCTAGCCTTTGAATACCTATGGCTCTGGCACCCTCAGAATTCAAGAGTCAAACCCCACCATTAGTGTTGCACACTCTTGACAAGTGCCATATCCTCCTGCATGGTCACGAGGTTGGCCTTGAAGGATTCAGTGAAGGTCCTGAGGTCATCCATGAGCCCTCCCATACGAGCCTCACAAAAAACTACAATGGTCCCCCATGTTCCCTTCAAATCATTGATCCGTGCCTCCATAACAGTAAGGTTCTGCCTAACCCACTATCCTAGACTCCATGGGTAAGTTGCTCGAGGTGGTCGACACAGTCTTGCACATCAACTATACCACCAACAATAATCACAACCAACTTTCGGGTCTGATACCAACTGTCACGGGGGAGATTTCCCACTACATGCCCCGTGTGACAACAAGCCTTTGTCCTAGCATAACCAAGGCTTAGCCAGCCTTCCACACACCACATTAGAGAAATGAGGCACAATCTCACACACAAGGGTCAGACATACAAGCAACAACTAAGGGTCGTAGCCTACCGTTAGTTCATTATGCACTTGCATTGTATGTAGCCAGGGACTTCTTCACCAAGGGCCGGCCACAAGATTCGTATAGCCCAGGTTACAATTCGAATTTTGAGTACACACTATGCACGTGTTGGTCATTCCACCACCATGACTTGCATGGAGGCCACTTGACCACCTCACATTCTGGGCTAGCCACCTGGCTACCCAACTCACTGGGTTGTTGTGCATGATCCATCCATTATCCCATAATCTCATGCCATTTAGGCACGAACATTGTGACAACCCACTACTAATGGTGGTTGTTGCCACCTGCTTCCCACTCCTTCAATTCACACCCACGTGGCCCCTTGATGGGAGGGGTCGTTTATCCCTAGTTAGCCTACTCTCTAGGGTCATGAGTAGTCATGCACCAACATGATTCAGTTACAACGAGTCATACATGCACTATCTCTCACACATGGCTCCTGGC